TGTATGAGTGTTTGCCTGCATGTATGTAGTGTACTGTGTGTGTGTGTGTGTGTGTGTGTGCGCGCGCGCCTTGTGCTTGAGGAAGCCAGAAGAAGACATCAGATACCAAGGAACTGAAATTAAAAACAATCGGCGGCTAAAATCAACTTTATTTTTACAGATAAGGTCAGTTGAAGGTCTGGTCCTGCAGGGTCACTTGGGCTTGGGCTCCTGTAACCTTTTGTGATTGTTTTATCTGGTGGCAATGCGTCATACCTGCCCAGAAGCACCGAGGACGTTTCTCTCTGTGTTGACAGTCTCTTTGCAGAGCGTATGCTGATTAGTGTCCACTCAGTGGGGAATCCAAGGCTCCCAGTCAAGAGAACAGGCGACTTGTCAGACCTTTAAGACGTTTTATCAAGTGCCCCCTGGTGCCCTGGAACCTAGTTGGCCTTGGAGGTCAAAGGTCCATCACTGAACCTGAAAGTCCCAGATTTGGCTCGGCTGGCTGGTCTCTGAGCTCCAGGGATCTGTCTGCCTCTACTTCCAGTGTGCTGGGCTTGCAGGTGCCTGACATGGGAGAAAGGCATCGCTGCTGCCGTGTTTGAGCCACCTTGATTCATGACATTCTTGTAATCCGTGACTACAGAAGTTCATGTGACTATTTTCGTGGTAGAACATGTCATCTGGGGCAGCCTGAACCTGTGTTGCCAGGCAGCACCTATTCATATTTGACTCAAAGGAGCAAAGAGAACTCTTGCCTATGACGATGGGTAAGATTTGGGTTTGAAGTGATAAAACATTCTGTCACTGGCAAGCGATGGTGGCTGCACACATTTGTAAATATGCTAAAACGTCCTGAATCACACTCTAAGTGGACAGATTCCCTGCAGGAATGGCTGGAGAGATGGTAAACATGGGGCTCTGAGTGTGATCCCCAGCACTCACATGAAGAGATGCTCAGTAAACCCTGCCCAGGAGAGGGAGAGTCGAGTTGATGCAGCCAGCCAGTCTGCTTAGCAAGCCTCAGGTCCCATTGAGAGCCTGTCCCAAGAAGCAAGGTGGGGCTAGCCAGCTGGCTCATGGGTAAAAGCACTTGCCATCAAACCTGGTGACCTGAGTTCAGTTCCCTGCATCTACAGGGTGGAAGGAGAGAATTTGTTGTGTGAAGTCTTTACTCTTTTGACTTTTTTGGGGGCCCACTACCCAGCTCCCAGAGAGGCTTCTTCTTAGTTAGGAATGCCCGGCCTTAGCTTAGCTTGTTTCTTGCCAGCTTTTCTTAACTTAATTTATCCCAACTACCTTTTGTCTCTGGGTTTTTTCCTTTTCTTACTTCTGTATATTTTACATTCACTCTTTCTTCGTGGCTGGGTGGCCGGGTGGCCGGGTGGCTGGGTGGCCGGGTGGCAGGTCCCCGGAATCCTCCTCTCTTTGTTGTCTCGTTGCTCCTCCTCTTCCTCATTTCTCCTTCTATTTATGCTCTCTGCCTGCCAGCCCCACCTATCCTTGCTCCTGGCTCACTAATTTTTTAATTGATTTTTATTAAGCTCTACATTTTTCTCTACTCCCCTCCCTGCCTCTCCCCCGCCCCCCTTCAACCCTCTCCCATGGTCCCTTCGCTCCCAGTTTACTCAGGAGATCTTGTCTTTTTCTACTTCCCATGTAGATTAGATCCATGTATGTCTCTCTTAGGGTCCTCATTGTTGTCTAGGTTCTCTGGGATTGTTATTTGTGGGCTGGTTTTCTTTGCTTTATGTTTAAAAACCACTTATGAGTGAGTACGTGTGATAATTGTCTTTCTGGATCTGGGTTACCTCACTCAAAATGATGTTTTCTAGCTCTATGCATTTGTTTGCAAATTCAAGATGTCATTATTTTTTTCTGCTGTGTAGTACTCCATAGGGTAAATGTACCACATTTTCCTTATCCATTCTTCAGTCGAGGGGCATTTAGGTTGTTTCCAGGTTCTGACTATGACAAACAATGCTGCTATGAACATAGCTGAGCACATGTCCTTTGGCACAATTGAGCATCCTTTGGATATGTACCCCAAAGTGGTATTACTGGGTCTTGAGGAAGGTTGTTTCCTAATTTTCTGAGAAATCACCACACTGCCATCCAAAGCGGCTATACCAGTCTGCACTCCCCACAGCAATGGAGGAGTGTTCCCTTTCCCCCACATCCTCTCCAGCATAAGTTGTCGTCACTGTTTTTGATCTTGGCCATTCTTACAGGTGTAAGATGGAATCCCAGAGTTGTTTTGATTTACATTTCTCTGATGACTAAGGATGTTGAGCATTTCCTTAAATGTCTTTCAGCCATTATAGAGTCCTCTGTTGAGAGTCCTCTGTTTAGGTCTGTACTCCAGGTTTTTTTATTATTATTATTTGTTCTTTTGATGACCAATTTCTTGAGTTCTTTGTATATTTTGGAAATCAGACCTCTGTCTGATGTGGGACTGGTGAAGATATTTTCCCATTTTGTAGACTGTCATTTTGTCTTATTGATCATGTCCTTTGCTTTACAGAAGCTTTTCAGTTTCAGGAGGTCCCATTAATTGTTTCTTTCAGAGTCTGTGCTACTGGGGTTCTATTTAGGAAGTGATCTCCTGTCTGGCTCACTATTGACTGATCTGCTCTTTGTTGGGACCATCAGGCGTTTTAGACAGGCAAGAATCACAGCTTCACAGAGCAAATGCTGTGAACAATGCAAATGCAGCACAAACAAAAGTCACACACCTGAAAATAATATTCTCCAACAAGAACTGACTCCTGCAAGCTACCCTCTGAACGCCCTGTTCCCAGTTAAGCACACATACATACAAATGAATAAATAAATATAAAACAAAACCAACAAGGTGGTGCATGAGAAAAGGCACTCGAGATTGACTTGAGATGGACACGCATGTTCACACACACAAGCACACAGTGCACACGCACATACAAATGGATAAATAAATATAAAACAAAATAAACCCCACAAGGATGGTGCATGGGAAAAGACACTCAAGATTGACATGCATGCACACACACATGCACACACACACACGCACACACACATACACATGCACACACACACACACAAAATAAGAAATGAGTGAATGAACATGAGACTCTGTGGGGACCTCCTGGTATTTCTTAATTGGAAGAAAAACTGCGTGGAACTTACATGTGACATAAGGCTCAAGAGATTCTCATGGATCTTCCATGGAAACACACAGAAAAGAACTAGGGTTCTATTCCCACTTCCTTTGAGCTTCCTGGAACACCACTGTAGATCATTCACTTGCTTCCAAAGGGAAGGTGACAGTGTGTTCATGCGGCATCCAGGACTTTTCTCCTGTTGTAAGAGGGACACGGCAGAATGGCCTGTGCAGCTGACCAGGTGGCCTTCAGACGTCTGAAGGACAAGCACCAACCTCACTGACACAGCCAGAGCTGTCACTGCTGACCTCGTAGTCACGTCGTAGAGTATGTGGCTCTCACAACAGCCCTGCACCACATGGGAAAGAAGCCCCCCTCAAAGTCAGAGAATATAAGAAAGCCACGAATCATGGGATTTTCTGGGGGTGTTGTTGGGGACATCAGGAAGGCAGGTTATACTAAACCAGACAAAAGTCTGTTGTAGTCGCAGATGCCATTGTTAGCTTTTAGGTTGATGGGAGCTGGTGCTCCACTAAATCATTACATCCCCAAGTTTCACTTGATATTTGGAAAAAAAAAGCAGGTCAGACAAAGCGATGAACAAGAAATAAGTATTTAAGGGACTAGGGTGTAGTAAGGCAATTTGACTCTGTATCAGCAATGATCCAAGTCTCCATGATGATGTAGTAGTCGGTGGTTCAGTCTTGTAGAGTTTAACAAAGACATGGCTTTTGTTCTGGGGACTTCAGTTCCTGTTTTGTAAGATAGAGTACTTTCCCATTGTCTGGATCCACTGTAACTTGTCTGCTTGTTGATGGACGTTTGAATTGTTCCCATCTTTTGTCTGTTAAGAGAAGTTCTGCTAAGACTGCCTGGATGTCTCTGTGTAGAGACGCTTGCATCTCTCTTGACCAAAGCCTGGAATTTCTGGGATATGGGAAGCTCTGTTTAATTGTTTTCCATTTTAGTTGTTTTTCTGTTTGTTTTTCATGGTAGCTGTGTTGTGGGACATTCTTATGTGCTGTGTATGATGTCTTCACCGACACTTTCTGATATGGCTTTTGGATTCTGATGGATACAAGTTTTGAAAGGATTTGTGAAGGATCCCCCATCCTCCTAGTTTTTAAGTGAAATGGGTATTTTTGCATGCTTTTTTTCCTCGGTTACCTGTGAAAGCATGCCTTGTGTGCTGGCGAGGTGGCTTTGTTAGAAAAGGCCCCCGCCACACAAGCCTAATGCCTTGAGTTCAATTCCTGGAGCTCCCAGTGGAAGAGAGGACCAGCTCCCACTGGAAGAGAGGACCAGCTCTCAGTGGAAGAGAGGACCAGCTCCCAGAAGTTGTTCTCTGCCTTTCACATGTGCACTGTGGCACATACACACATGCGCACACACAAACATATGCACATAAACTTTTTAAAAAAAGGATGTAGCTTGCAAAGAGGTCCCCTTGTGTGACAGTAATAAAGGTGATCTCATTTTTGTTAGTTACTTTTCCATTGCCATGATTAAACACCACAGCAAGGCATCTTATAGAAGAAAGAGTTTATTTGGGCTCATGGTTCCAGAGTTATAGAGTCAATGATGGTGGGAACAGTATGGAGCAGGTGGCAGACTGCAGGGCAGGAAGCTACGTGTTTATATCTTGAATCACAAACAGAGTGAACTAGAAGTACATAGCTTTTTACTCAAACCTACATCCAGTGACGTACTTTCTCCAATGAGGCTGCAGCCCTTAACTTTCCCCACACAGGACCAACTAGGGACTAGGTGCAAATGCCCAAGACTGTGGAGGGCAAGAAGGGCTGGTGAAGAAGCAAGACGGACTCAGGAGGCTGCTGTCTTTCGCTGGAATGGCTGATGAGGCCCTTTACTTTTCAGGAGGACTGGCCCTGGCCCAAGTACTCTTCTTCTATGTGAAATACTTGGTGCTCTTCGGTGTTCCGGCTCTGCTCATGCACCTGGACGGGCTCACACCGCCACCCCTTCCCCGCTGCGTCAGCACCATGTTCAGCTTTACTGGGATGTGGAGGTCAGTCTCGTGGTTTAAGTCTTTTGGGTGTGTCCGGTGGGCTTGGCTGGCTTCAGAGAGTTTGGCTACTGTTTTTCCCCTTTACCAACACCACATTTGGTACTACACATTCTTTATCCTGCTAAGGTGATGGCAGTCCGGACTTTCGGACCTTCACAGAGTTATTACAAAGGTACGGAGGTAAGTGAGGCAGGACACACACAGGACTCTGATGTCTCATGGATGTGATAAAATACACCGGTCAAAGCAAAATAAGGGAAAAGGCTTCATTTTGGGTTGCTATTTGAGTGTAAAGACCAACATGGAAGCCTAGACATGGGAGCTTGGGAGGCAGCTGGTCACATTGTGGCTGCAGCTAGGAAGCAGAGAGCAGTAGATGCTGGTGTTTACCTTGTCTTTTTTTTTTTTTTAATGCAATCCAGGACCCAAACCCGGGGAATTGTACCACCTGCTTTCAGGGCAGGTCTTCCCTCCCCAGCTAACCTACCCAAGATGGTTATACCTGGAGGCTTGTCTCCCAGGTGACTCTGGATCTGGTCAAACTGACAATGAATATTATCACAGACATGCTGTGAGGTCTTCACTCTGCTTTCCTCGAAAAGTGAGCGTGTAAGACACATCATTGACTATAAACAGGTGGAGTGTAACAGCCTAGGCCGGCACTCACTGCCGTTTACCCATTTGCAGGTTTTGAAAAACCTGGTCTGGTTGTCTCATCTCTTAAGTAACAATAGTAGTGTGCTGTACACATCTGTCTCCAGAAGTTCTTTTGAAGAGGAGGCAAGCCACAGAGAAGATGCTTCCAGATGCTAGCCCTCAACTTTGTGTTGTTCCCATGCAGGGTCCGTGCGATAGACTGGTGTTTTCTCTGAGTTCTTTGGCTGTTACTGACTTTTGTCCCCTGAACTTATGATTGGCCTGGGACTTTTTGTTCCTAAAGATTCCCAAGTCCCTTATCATTTTTGACGGCTGTTTTCCAGAAGGACTTGTTTGCACATGCGTTTTTCTGACATCCATCTTGTAGCAAGGGTCAGGATTGCTGTTGCAATGGCAGACCCAGTGGAAGAAGCTCAGGGTAGGTGCCGGCTCAGCAGGAGGAATCAGAGCCTACTTAAAACTTAGTCTTCGAGTTCCACGCCTGCTTCTTTCTAACTCTTCACCCTGTTCAGAGTTACTGTTCTGCCTCATTCATCTCTGTAGACCCAAGACAGAGGTAGCAGGAGAACTCAGTGAGTGTTGCTGCATCCCTGCTGCTCTTCTGGAGGACACAGGCAGCTTGCAGTGTTGCTTCTCCATAGCCATGTGGGCACATGTGGCGTGACCTGGGCCTCTGTATGCACGTGTTAGCTGTGTTCTGGCTTGCTTTACGGGGTTGGAGGTTTCCTGTAACTATAGAAGGGCAGCTCAGCAGCTCCCTGCATCTCCTTTGTCATTTCATCAAGCTCCAGGCTGGTCTTTTTAAAGCCAGGACTGGGGAAGGCTGGCAAAGGGACCCTTTTCACGGCTGGATAGTTTTTGTTGAGATGAACCTCACTGGAAGCTGTCATCCTGTGACCTGCTCAGAAAGGTCGCTTCCTCAGTTCGTGGTGGGGACCAGAAATGATTTGGGAACATGTCACAAGCATCTGGTGGGAGCCCTGCATGGCTTCTCTGGCTCTCTGTTTTGACCATCTGCAGTAATGTTCTTGGGAAGGATGTTTTTTTCTGGGCACTTCTGCAGGGTCAGCTGGAGTGGTCACCATGGTGACCAGGACAGTTTTCTTGTCCATAGTTACTAACTCATTGATTGCTACAAGGTTTTATACAGTGAAACAGATGACTGTTTTTGTTTTAATTAATCAAATTTAATTTTTTTTACATTTTAAGTGTGTGCATGTTTCTGTGTTTATATCTGTATGTAGCTTTGCATGCATGAGTGCAGGCGCCCTTGGAGCCCAGAAGATTCTTGACATTGGATGAAGTGAGGCTGAATTACAGTTATTTTAACTCATCTGGTGTGAGCATTAGGAATCGAATTTGTGTCCTCTTGAAGACTGAAGAGCAGTATACACTATTAACTGGTGGACCATCTCTCTAGCCCCCTTATTTAACTTGTTTTTGCCCAAGAAAGATCCTCAACTTACATCAACTACAGAGATGGATAAAACATATCCGCCATTGTCATGATCAGGAACAAATGGTTACTCTGTGGGGCTCCAAAGGGTGAGCCCTTGGAGCAATGGCAACTGAAAGTTATTTTTACAAGAGCACTTGATGAAAAGGTGAATAGATTCTCCTCTAGGACTGATGTAGGCTCCCATTCTAGCTTCCGCAGCACGCAAGGCTAGAAGGTTCCTTGGCTTTTTAGATTTATTGATCAAAGCAAGTGTCTGTGTGTCTATGTGAGCCTTTGTGAGTTTGTGTTGTGCCCCGTGTGTGTGCAGTGACTAAGGAGGCCCATGGTCATCAGATGCCCTGGAACTAGAGTCACTGGTGTTTGTGAACTGCCAGGCGTGGGTTCTGGGAACTGACCTTGCGCCCTCTGCAAGAGCAGGACAGGCTCTTACCCACAGCGCTGTCTTTGTTTTGTTCCTGAGACAAGGTGTGGCTGTGTAAGCCTCGGCTGGTTTTGAAATCATGAAATCGGCCTCCTGTTGTAGTAGGAGGCTGCTTATTTGTTCCCTGCTGCTCAGCCCTGAAATAATCACACAGAAACCATATTATTTGCAATACTGTTTGGCCAATAGCTTAAGCTTATTTCTGGCTAACTCATATCTTAAATTAACCCATCTTCATTAATCTATGTATCACCACGAGGCTGTGGCTTACCAAGTAAAGTTCAGACGTCCGTCTCTGGTGGGGCTACATGGCTTCTCCATGACTCTGCCTTTTTTTCTCCCAGCATTCAGTTTAGTTTTCCCCACCTACCTCTGTTCTGCTATGGGCTCAAAGCAGTTTCTTTATTACCCAGTGGAATTCACAGCATACAGACGGGAAATCCCACATCAACCTCCCAAATGTTAGGGTTACCACTGTGCACCATCACACCCAGTCCCTCCGTATTTTTAAGTTTCTTTCCAGTTTGGTAGCTGTACCTTGTGTCTTTGCACGAGGTAGCCTTTTCAGGTTAAACAGCCGAGTTTCAGAATCCATGTGAGCCTCTGAGCCGTGGTGCCCAGGGGAAAGCCCAGGAGAGGTTTTTTTTTCAGAAGAATAAAAGTGCTGACTATCTTCGTGCCTTTTGTGACTGTTCCTTCCTCACAGGGAGGTTTTTCAGTGTTGTGTGTGGGTGTGCATGGATGTCTGGTGTATGTGTGTGCTTGTGCAGTGTATGGGTGTGTGTACATGTATATGTCTGTGTAGTGCATATGTACATGTGTGTTCGTTAATGTGGAGGCCAGAGGTAAATGTTGGGTGTCTTTCTCAACTGCCCTCCATCTTCTGAGACAGTCTCTTGCTGAACCTGGAAGTCATTGATTGGCTAAGCTGGCTGGTCAGCAAGCTCTGAGGTTGTGCCTGCCCCTGCCTCTCCTGCACTAGGGTTGCAGACATCCATGACCATACCCAGCTTTGTTCTGTGGGTTTCATGTTACATTTCTGGGTGGTCTTTTATGGGAAGGCAAGTTGTGAAGTTGTGATGTCTAATATCTAACTTTACACCCATGTCTCTGGGCTGCACATGGGTTGTTGCTGCAGACCAGGAATGGCCCCCTCTTCCTGAGTGTAAAAAGAATTTAGTCAGGAGTGGAGGGGAAGCTGGCGGTGCACATGTTCTGCTGGGCTGTGGCGGAGGGGAGAGGTTTAGAAGTCTCCTGGAGGTTATCGAGTGATTCTCTCAGTCTTCTGGAAATAGGTATCGAGTGAAGCTTAGAACCAATAATGAGACTGTTATCAGCACAGCACTTTACACACCGAACACGAGGCTGGCTGACTGTGCCGTCTTCCACTCCACTTTGAATAGCAGGACCCCGATGCCAGCAGCCTGCTGGTTTATGTTGGCCATGAAGAACTGCTGCTCTCTCCGATGGCCCAAATCTACAGTTGGGATCTGCTGGGTCTGTTCACGCCTGTCCCCAGCTTTCCTTTCCACGGATCTCATTGAAATATTTACAAACGTAGCAAAGCCCCAAGGAGCAGCTGTATTCCTGTGGTGTGAGTTTTTCACGGCTATATGGGGCTGAGAAATTGAAATTTCTACGCTTTAATCTCTAGGTTTCATGTTTTAATTTAGAGGAGCTGAGATCTCTAATGAGGATCTTTTGCCAAGAGTCATTAAAGATGGCGTTGCCTGTCTGGTTCCGAATTAGCATTCTGATCGTGCCCCCAATTTGATTTCCAGCGATAGAGGTGAAGTATGCAAAGTGATAGGGTTTCCCACAGTGGCTGGTGAGTTATGGGTCAATTTCAGTTATCTCAAGAATCTCAGGCAGCTTGCCCTCCACACTGCTTGAATTACGATGCTTCCCCGTCTTTGCAGGCAAATTCATGCATCATCCGCTATCCCAGAGGAATCTGGATAGCAATTGGTGAGGGCTAGACTTTAATGCATGAGTACATCTTTAGGCTGGGAGGAGGAACAGGAGGAGGAGCCCAAGCACTTTCTCTCAGTGGGGCATCAATGGCCCAGACTGGGAGGTAAATAGAAGACTTTAGCTCTCTAGGTAGGGAGCTGGTTCTGCTGTGCAATCAACGGTAAATCCAGTGGTGGACGGCTGCCTCTTTGAACCTCCTGCCTCTGAATGATGCTTAGCCCCCAGCCATAGGGCAGGGTGCCAGGATGCTATGGCCTCCCAGCGTCGCTGGTACAGAACAGAGACTGGGTGAACCTAAAGAGGAAAGGGGAAGTGGGCTTTGTTCACAGGGCTCGCCGTATCCAGAGGGACCCTGGTCCCCAAGAGCTTGCTCCTCATCAGCTGTGAGACTCTGGGTAGTTGTTTCATTTTCTGGGCCAAGCTTCTACCTCTAAAGTGAGGATTTGTCCCATAGGATAATGTGATGATTGTTGGAAATGAGAATATAGT